GAAGGTGAGCTACAAAAGGAAGTTGGAAAATCTGGAGACGGCGTTGCAAGACACAGAGAAAGTCGGACCTCCGAGAAGGAAAGTGGCCAGGCGTGACGAGAATGTGCCTGAAAACAACGTCACTGATGATATGGATCTGGACAGTCTCATAGAGGAGATGCTGTCGGAGGAAATGGAAGTACCTGATGCATCTCCAGAGGAGCTGAATGACTTTGTAGAGGAGATGCTGAGAGATTCAGCCATTCTATATCAAAATCCCATGCATGCAAGGAACTTCTTTATGTGAAAGAGGCGAGAGAAAACTTAAAAGTCAGATCCGGAGCCCGCGGAGGCGAGAGGCCGCTCAACAAGTCTGGAGAAGATGCTGCTTTCTCTGGATCTCAGGAATCTGCAAAAATGAGACAAACGCAAGGAGGCCACTAAAACAAGAAATTAGAACCCTTCAAACACTTCCAAATATTGCACAACAAAAACAGTAATAAGCCACGTGGCTTAGCTGCAGCCACACAGAAGAGATGTCTCAGTTTTGACTGGGCGCCTCTTTCTATTTGTGGTTGTAGGTTGTTTCTTAGTGATTGTGGGTTTTCTCCGGCTGCTCCGGTTCCCCCACTAAAGTCTGGTAAATTGGCCAATATAAAGGATGTCTTAAAGAAAGGGCTCATTGATTTCAAAAACTGCTAAATGGTTCATATTTGAGGAACATATGTGCCATTTAAAGACACTGCAGCTCATACCTGGAATTGTTTGCAGAACTGGAATTTCCAGATACAGTTGGAATCAAATTGAGATTCTCTATGCATATTTTGTGAGGCGTCGACTCTTTGCAGAATCTACATACCAACTCTACTAATTATCCCCTCCATGCTGAGTCTGGGCTGCTACCATCAAGCAGCTCAAATACAGAACAAATGGATGGGAAAACATGTTTAGGCAGGATGTATAGTAAATTCTAAATATAATAATTGGAATTGATAATTACAGACTATATATAAATATATACATAAATAAATATGTGTATATATACATACATAAATAAATATGTGTATATATACATATATAAATAAATATGTGTGTATATACATATATAAATGAATATGTGTATATATATGCATACATAAATATATATGTGTATATATACATATATAAATAAATATGTGTGTATATACATATATAAATGAATATGTGTATATATATGCATACATAAATATATATGTGTATATATACATATATAAATAAATATGTGTGTATATACATATATAAATAAATATGTGTATATATACATATATAAATAAATATGTGTGTATATACATACATAAATAAATATGTGTATATATATATATAAAAAATATGTGTATAAATACATATATAATAAATATGTGTATATATACATATATAAATAAGTATGTGTATATATACATATATAAATAAATAAATATGTGTATATATACATATATAAATAAATAGGTGTATATATACATACATACATAAATACATAAATATATGTATGTATACATATATATGTTTATATACATATATAAATGTATTTATATATGTACAGATATATATATATAAACATTTTCAGGACTATTCAGTGATTTATCATCCTCTCTCATCTCTCCTTAATGGCTGAAAATGCACCTTATCACTAACAGCCACAGTGCAGAACCAGGAAACCGACTTTCTTTCTTAACATTATATATTCACCAAATCTAAAGTTCTAGCTCCCAAACTCTGGTTTGATGCAATAACCCTTGAATATCTCATCCAAGAATGTTCAAGGTTTGTTGGTGGATGGCAGGAAGGATCTCCAGTGTTCAATCTTCCAGCGAATCTGAAGAAGACTGTGACTGAAAACAGTGCTGCTGTCTGACATTTTGATGACTCATGTAACGTGTCCCAAAAAGCAACGAAAAGAAAGAAAAACGAACATGAACAAAAATCGACAGGAAAAATAAACAACAGCCACGTCAACAGCGCATCCCCATCCGATACAGGAAGGAAGGTGAGGGGCTGCTGATTAGTGTGGCAGAGTTCTCCATGGTCACCACTCTTTGTATGATGTAACAACTAGTCATGCTTGTGATGTCATCATCTCTGTTCTCTTATGTAGCAAACTTCCACCTTCTGCTCATTGCTAGCTACACGATGACCAGTTCAGACGTACGCAAAGCGCCAATAAAGTCGAGGTTGACATTGTTTGCAGATCGAGATATGCCGTATCAAAGGCCACAGCATCCCAAAGGCGGGTTCAGATCCCAGCCGAGGGCGTGGAGAGGTGGACAACAACAACACAAGGATGGAGTGAGAACAGAGCGTCTCCCGCTGAGCTCCAGAGAGAACTCCAGAGACTTGGCTCTCTCTTGGAAATGGAGCGAGCCAAGTGGTTTCAAGAGAACCAAAAGGTGCTCAGTCTGGAGAAAGAGCTGAAAGACACCAAAGCTGAGCTAGAAAAGCAGAGAAATCTCAAGAAGGTTTTTATCAACAGGGGCAAAGAAATGAAGAGAACACTGCTGGCAGTAGAGAAGTTTGCCGATAGCGAGACTCTCAACCCTGTCGCCATCGCTTCCACTCTCCACAGCGAAGTAAGACACAAGAGGAAAAGGCTGCTGCAAGAGGACCTGGAGCAGCTGAAGGTGTCTTGCATTGTCAACGAGGAAGCGTTCACCTCAGAAATCAAGGCGGAAAAAGAAAGAGGTGACGCCCTCCACAAAGAGCTGAAAGAAATGAAGACGCGATACGAGGAGCTTAAATCAAAATATGAAGCCGACGATCGTGAGGAGAAGCTCCAGGTCGAATCTAAGATGTTTTACGAGGAGAAACTCGAGCAGAACGAAAAGCGCTTTGAAAAGCTGAGAGCCGAGAAGGAGGACCTGCAACGACAAATATCCCAGGAGATAGCCAACTTTAGAGAAACAGAGAGTCTTCTCCGAAGTGAACTGGAACGGACTAAAGATTCTCACCAGAAACTTATGGCTACATATGAAAGGGACGTTTCTGCTCTAAGAGAGCAGGCACAGATATTTAAGCAGTACGTCGATAAGGAGGTAAATGCTCTTTCCTACAAATTGATGAGGGACCTAAAGATTATTGATGAACTGGAGTCCGAGAAAGACCAGCTCCAAAAACAACTCATGGCATTCCGGCAGATGCACTCGGTCAAGAAGGTGAGCTACAAAAGAAGGTTGGAAAATCTGGAGACGACGATGCAAGACACCGAGGAAGTCGTACCTCCGAGAAGGAAAGTGGCCAGGCGTGAAGAGAATGTGCCTGAAAACAACGTCACTGATGATATGGATCTGGACAGTCTCATTGAGGAGATGCTGTCGGAGGAAATGGAAGTATCCGATGCATCTCCAGAGGAGCTAAATGACTTTGTAGAGGAAATGCTGACAGATTCAGCCATTCTCTATCAAAATCACATGGACGTCAGAAACTTCTTTATGTGAAAGAGGCGAGAAAACTGAAAGCTCAGATCCTGAGCCTGCGGAGGCGAGAGGCCGCTCAACAAGTCTGGAGAAGATGCTGCTCTATCTGGATTTCAAGAATCTGCACAAATGAGACAAATGCAAGGAGGCCACTAAAACAAGGAATTAGAACCCCTTCAAAAACTTCCAAATATTGCACAATAAAAACAGTAATAAGCCACGTGGCTTAGCTGCAGCCACACAAAAGAGATGTCTCATTTTTGACTGGGCGCCTCTTTCTATTTGTGGTTGTAGGTTTTTCTTAGTGGATTTGGGTTTTTCTCCGGGTGCTTTCCCCCACTAAAGTCTTAAATTGGCCTATAAAGGATGTCTTAAAGAAAGGCTCATTGGTTTCAAAACTGCTAAATGGTTCATATTTGAGGAACATATGAGCCATTTAAAGACACTGCAGCTCATACCTGGAATTGTTTGCAGAACTGGAATTTCCAGATACAGTTGGAATCAAATTGAAATTCTCTATGCATATTTTGTGAGGCGTCGACTCTTTGCAGAATCTGCCTACCAACTCTCCTAATTATCCCCTCCATGATGAGTCTGGGCTGCTACCATCAAGCAGCTCAAATACAGAGCAAATGATGGGAAAACACTTTTAGGCAGGATATATAATAAATTCTAAATATAATATTTGGAGTCATAATTACAGACTATATATAAATATATCTAAATATACATACATAAAAATATGTGTATATATACATTCATCTATAAATAAATGTATATATACAGATATAAATAAATATGTATATATATACATACATACATAAATATATGTATATATACATATATGAATAAATGTATATGCATACATATGTAAATATGTGTATATATACATACATATATAAATATATGAATATATACATACACAAATGAATATGTGTATGTCTCGTTATGGTGACAAACAGAGCAATGAAGGAGACTTGAATTTGATGGATTTACAAGCGGGGCTTTTTAGGTGAAACATCCGACATTATTGAAGTCACTTCAACAATATAGAGGGTCAGAAAGAATGAGGGCGAAGTTTAAAGAGGTCTTTGACAGAAACCAATAATGTCTGATAATACCTTTCAGAGTTTCTTCCTCTCGAAAGCTTTGAGTTGAGCGCGAGCCGAACGAGCAGCGTGACGTTTAGAGTTGACGCTTACGTTGGTTCCCGTTCCTCCGTATTCTGATAAAGTGCGTCTGTATCACGTTAATACCAGAGCAGGGAAACCTCCTCTGCAACATCACTTTCCACTCGTCCAGTTTGAGTGACAGGCAACGCGCGCGACCCGCGCAGTGACAGAAATTCAGAGATGCGCGAGCACGAGCCGCGACATTGCTCTGTCGTCACAGCTGTGTTGCATTCTGGGAGCTGTCCAGTGCTGAAACGGGCTATACTACCAGGACAAAATGGTGTTTGGTGTTTTCTTTTTTATGAACAAATGAAACACAAAATACACATTGAAATGTGACATATTTATAAATGTAACAAGTTTGTACAAAATGAAATAAAATAAAGAAAGCTTAGCTGTTTTTAATGCTTAATCTAAGGAGAAACATCATTTATTTTTTCATCCATTAACTTCAGCCAATTGTTCCCATCTTTTGTCTGCAGCATTGTAGAAATAGGAAACAATAAACATGACATTAAGAGCACATAGAAACATCATAAAAAAGTCCACAGTGCTTAGACTGCAATATAATACAATTCTATAGTTTATTTCCAAAAGACAGAGATTTTAATACGGATTCCCTTACAGTATCACTTAATACAACTAAATATGTTTTAATTATGTAATAGAGAAAATAGATGATTATATATTTCACACTTTCACAGCATTTTGGATCAGAGACATATATTAGTTATATTTAAAAGTACCAAAATAGATAAGCATGTACACAAACATCTAAGTTTGCATGGTGTGCTAAAAGGCAGATTCACCTTCCAGAGTTACCGCTGATTTGATTTCAGAATAAACTGATTCATCTGTTGCTGCAGGTTTTTCTGTGAATGAAGATAATTAGCATTAATGATAACAAAATCAACAAGCAGGAATTTAATTCCAGTGTTATGCTGATCCTAACACTGTCCACACACAAAGCTTACGCTATTAGTTAAAAAGTATTGCATATAGAGGAAAATCTGCAAAGTCATACATCCAAAATGCTAAAAAGGATTACTAGAACTGGGAATTATGGTGAAAATATCTCATCAATTTACAATCTAAAATGATTTATTAAATATGTTGCATATGAGAAACTGAGTGCAAACTGAGTGTTACCTCTCCTGTTTCGCTTGGCTCTGTTCTTATTGATTTCAGCGTACGTTGGAGCGAGTTCTGAAACAGGAAACTCATTTAATCAAACACAGGAATGGTTTACACTATATTGTGTACCAAAAAACCACAGTAAATTTATGTCCGATTCTGAAAAGCTGAAACCAAATTCAAGAGAGACAGTTTGTTTTTTCGTTTCAATAACAGATTGCATTTGACAAAAGAAACATCCAACACTGTGTCATCTTGAGGAAGCTAAAACTTCACAAAGGGGAAGGAAAATTTTCTTTTCACAATTTGCAGCTGCGTGGCTACATGGGAGGGGCAATATATTTAAAAACACTTGCTACACTGCAAAATTAGCATGGAACAAATGTTTAATGAAACACACAATCTGTAAAAGTGTTCAGTCCCTCTGTTTCTGCTGATGTCAAGAGAGAGTTTGCAGTCAATGTTACAGATAGAAATGTTCATTATTTTTGATGATGATGAGGTCATAATAAACAAAACATTTCAAGAATCATTTCCTGCATACTAAACTGCAAAAGAAAATTGGTCAACAGGAAGATTAGAAGCTGCAATAACAATAACATAAATGTATTAGTATTAGTAATGTCTGCTCATTTATATTTAAGACATTTGCAGCTTTGTAATGTCACTTTTTTTTTCTTTTGCTATTTAAGACATAAAAATACTGAGGGTTTTTTTCCCTTCTCCTGACTGATGCCTTTTTAGTTTATCATAACTCTGTGATCAGACAGTAAACATTAGGATCTCTTGGAAAATATTAGAAGTGCTGCACAGTATTTTAGATTAATCAGAATCAAAATGCCAAACAGCACTCAGCATTTTTATTGCTATTGTCCTATAGTTTGTATGTAATTGAAGATTAATTTATGATTCTGGTAAATTATACTAGATATGTTAGATTTTAAAATATATATATATATATATATATATATATATATATATATATATATTATATATATATATATATATATATATATATATATATATATATAGCTATATATTTGATTCTTTCTCTTTTGACATTTTTACATATACTTGTAGAATTATGTTAGATGATCTGAACCTGCAGGGTATTGACACAAAGACACATTTTGATATAAAGTCCGACTGACTTTACCTGCAGCACTTGTGTTCACTTCTGCGTAAATAACGGGCTCCTCAGGTTTACGGGGTTTTCCTGTTGAGATCGACAAAACAAAGACACGCAGTTAGAAATCATTCAGTTATCCTCTTGTGCAGTAAAAGGTTTGTAATTTTGAACTCACTCTTTTTTCGGAGCTTTTTGAACTTAATGGCGGTGTACGTTACTTCACTGGGTTCAGCTGCAGCAAAAAATGTTTCACAATTTTAGATCGGCTTGTTTTCTTAAGCGCTCCAGTTGTGTGTTCATCTGCTTTAAACAGAAATACTTCACCAGCTGCAGTGGCTTCACAGACTGATCCACAGAGAGCAGCACCAGGTTAATAGTTATATAATAACAATGTTACAAAGAACAGCTGGTTTTTAAAAACTTTGAGACAAAAAGTGTTTTAAAGTGCATCCAGCATTGATGAAATGCTGGAAATACGTATGTAAATGTGATTTCTTAGTTTCCTATTTTTAATACATTTGGAAAAAATCTAACATTTTCCACATTATTATTGTTGGGTATTTGTGTGGAGAATATTGAGGAAAGAGATTAATTAAATTTTCACAGCACAAGGCTGTGATATAAAAGGCCGACAAAGTGCATAGATGTGAATACTTTTCGGATGCTCTGTAATTGGTTGTACGTTTTGGGATTTTCATTTATTTTCTTTGAACAGTAGTCTAATAGGCCATCAGCATTAAAGTCATACAGTTAGAAAGTGAAATTATTCAAGACAAAAATATCTTGCTTGTTTATCTGAAATCTTTTTTTATATATTTCAACTGAATCTCACATTTCATTCTTGATAAGTTTATTGTGTCATAACAGATCAGTTTTATGGTGGCTTATTTTAATTACGATCATAAACATGCAAATATTAAACATACTGAATAAATATGTGAGTTGATGACAAAAATAAAAAGATGTAAATGCATCATGAGAAGAATATGATTAAATTCTGACCTGGAATAGCAGAGATATTGACACTGAACTCATTCTCCGCTCCTTGATGATGGTCGATCTCTGACTGTTTTTTTCTGATCTAAAACACAAATAGATAAAAGTTACAGCAAACAAGTACAGAGATCTGTGTTCTTTATCAAGGAAAGGAAAGTAATGACTGACCTGAAAGAGCATAAATCTGTGGAAAAGACATTTCTTATTACTTATTCTGTGGTTCAAATCATTTGTCACATAGAACAGAATAATGTGTGCCTTTGATTAAAGGGTTTAAATAAACAATGTGATCAAACCTTTGTGCTGCTTGTAGCGCCACAATAAGAGCAGGAAAATAATCAGAATGATTCCACTAATGGGTCCAATGATCAGCAGTAAAGGAGACGAGGAGGGAACAGAACTGGACACAGTTCCTGAAAATATTAAATATTGAAGGAAACAAAGGTATAATGTCACATCCACATTGACATATTCATTTCTCACCTTGAGCTCCAACAACTAGATAAAACTAAATTACAAACATTTTAATCCTCCTCACCTCTAACAGACATCCAGCTCTTTAGTGACTCTTTTCCTGAATGTTTACATTTGTAGAACCTTCATCTGACTTTGACACTGCAGAGATCTTCAGCTCCTCTCTGCTGTCATTATTGATGAGTTTATCATTATGATAGAAAAACACATTGGAGAGAAACTGTTGTTGTTTATTTCTGCAGCTCAGAGTACGGGATCTCCCTCAGTCCAGGATGAACAGGGCTCACCAGGATAACACGATCATCATAATCATCTGTAAAATAGACAGAATATCAACTACTGACAAGCAATCAACTGTTGACAAACTTTTGAAAGCTGCTTCTGTCATGAAAAGGTGAGTAGTGGAGGTGGTGAGGCAGACGCTGGAGACCCAGGTAGGTGAATGGTGAGTAATTTAATAAAAACAGTCCACAAAAACACAGTCAACAGAGTCCGCGGCCAGGCAGCACGGCTGAGCGGAAGCCAGGGCTCAACGCCGGTAGCAACTGGTCATACAGGCGGTAAACACAACAACAACAATCTGACAACAATCTGACAAAGACCCGAGGAACAAAGGACACAGGAGGGACTAAATACACTGAGGGTAATCAGGGGAACAAGACACACCTGGGAACAATCAAGGGGAAGACAGGACAACGAGGAGACTCAGGACACAGAAACTCGGAATTAAAACACAGAAAAACACAGAACCTGACAGATTCAGTTATTTATGTAGATTTTCTATCTTTGAGTGTTAAACCGAGCCAATGGAAAACACAATCAGTCTCTATTTTTTCATAAATGTTTTGATAAATAATTTCAAATCATTTCAAGAATCATTCCTGCATACTAAACTGCAAAAGAAAATCAGTCAAAAGGAAGATTAGAAGCTGCAAAAACAATAACAGAAATGTATTAGAATTAGTATATCTGCTCATTTATATTGAAGAAATGTGCAGCTTTTGTAATGTCACTTTTTTTTCTCTTCCTATTTAAGACATGGAGCTAAGGCGTGAATTCAAGCTGGGAGACAGAACACAGCTGATCTACAAACAAGCTGATCCACTTCAATCACGTCACACCCCGCTGCGGCCAATCAGGATCGGCGCCCTTGCGCGTCCCAGCCAATCAACGTCAAGCCTTGTCCATTCAAGAAGTCGAGCCTCCGGGCGCCCACCTCCTCCCCATCCACCTTCAACCCGATGACCATTCTCCAGGCGCTTTACGCGCTCCTCCATCCAAGGCTCCGCTCCATCACCAGTATTCGGACCGGGGGGTAAGACTAGTGAGCTTCGCCGTACTCAGCATCTTCCCCCGGCGATCTACGCTCACTAGTCTTCTGCCGGTTCGAGCCCAAAGATTTGTTCATTAAAATCTTCTAACTGCTTATTTTTCTCTGTGTGAGTTGATCCAGATTGAAATAAAAATACTGAGTGTCTGCTCTCTGTGGATCAGTCAAGCCTTCTGAAGCCACTGCAGCTGGTGAAGTATAATTTACCAGAATCATAAATTCATCTGCAATTACATACAAACTATAGGACAACAGCAATAAAAATGCTGAGCGCTGTTTGGCTCATTTTGATTCTGATTAATCCAAAATACTGTGCAGCACTTCTAATATTACATAGTAATTATTATTTTTGAATTATTATTGATGGCAAAAAATTTCACACATCAACCTAAAAATTGCATTATTTTAGATAAAAATACATATTAAACAAAATAAAAAAACTGCAATGAGACTCCATTTCACAAAGACAAGAGACATGAGAGATTATATAACATTTTTCAATGGATTGTTAATATGCGGTTGTAATTTTTCAAAGTTCTAATATTATAATATTTTGTACAATAATATTAAAGTTAGCATATTTTAATATAAAACCTACGGTACATTTGTAACATTCTTATTTTCAAGCACTTCTGGATGGATGCAAACTGCATTTCTTTGCTTTGTACTTGTGACGTGAAATGACAAAGTTGACTTTTATTATATTCTAAACATTTGATTATTAGTGATTTTGATCCACGTTCTACACCTATGGAGTTATCTGTTATTTGTTCTAAAATTTACTTGGATCACACGCTTACAAACAGAACAGCCAAAGGAAGAAGGTCACCTGCTCGGTTTTAAAGGACAAAAAATGTTAACACCCTTCAGCTCCATCTGTCAAACACTGAATTTTGCTTAATTCATTTATAAAATTTACCTGAAGAGAAAAGAATGTAGGAAACACGAGATTCCTGTAGACATGTCTACAGGAACTCTAGTCATTCTGAATAATAAAAAGTAAACAAAAATATCTTTTTAAAAATATTCATAACCTACCTTGTACAGTGATGTTGACTGCATTGCTGAATTCTCCTGATCCAGACTCACACCAGTAAACTCCACTGTGAACCTCCAGTCTCTTAATGGTACATGAGGATCCAGGCATCATCCCCCAGTGGAAGCACTGAACATGTGATGGACTGGTTGATTCTGTAAACCTCTTCACTCTCCACTTGGTGTTGTTCCCACTGCAGTTCAGTGTGACAGACTGATCAATGAAATGTTGAACTCTGTCAGGACTCACTGAGAGAGAAGCTGCTGGATGAGAGTCTGAAAAAAACACATAAAAGTATAAAATTTCTCCAGGCAGTTGTGTTGAGAAAATGTAAAAAAACAATGTTCATTGAGCTGTGATTGTAAAATAATCTGTAAAATGATAAGTGGTTTACAGACAATATAGTAGGGAAGTAAAACCAAAGAAACCAAAAACAACAACAAAAAAGAAAGAAAGAAGATATGAGTAACATGAAATAAATGTTGATCTTATTGAAGTTGTTGATATAATTTTTTAAAAAATAAGAAAAGAGTCCATAATGTCAGACTTTCAGAGCATTGAGGTAGCAAAACTAATGGCCACAGTGATAATCTGCTAATTTGTTTCTTGATGACAGTTAAAAAAGAAATGGTCAAAACGACTCCAAGCTTTTGACCTTTAAATGTTAAAAGGGAAGGAAATTTAAAAACCTTAGAATCTTATTTCTGCAAATAATTCATAGTTAATCAAACTTCTAAATAGCATTTAAATGATATGATTTACAAATGTAGGTTACAGTGGTAAATACATCAATGAATATTTAAAACGTAAAAACATCACACAATATTTTTATTTTGTAAAACACTACTAAAACTCTAAGTACACATAACAACCAAAACGACTGAAAATGAAACAACGTATTAAAGTTCAGCAGGTAACTGGCTGCTCTGTCAGCTCCTTCTTCAAGTTATTGCAGCTGACCATGTGCCACAGCTCCCCCTAGTGGTTCCAGACGGAAACATTCTCCTTATAGCTTCTGGTCCCATAAACACTTTACTGTATTCTGGTTGTAGTTCTCTTCATCACTGACTTTCAGCAGAAAGCTAAATAATTTTGTCATGTTGGGGTTAGGGTTATACAAACCCTATGGAAAACATTAGGCAGTTGCTGCTTCCAGCTTCTTCTTTTTTCCAAAATAATTAGTCAAAAGCTAATTCTTTGCCTACGATGTGCAAAACTTTGAAAAGAGTGAAATGACTGAGGATCACATCCATCATTATTTCATAGCTTCAACAACACATTATTTTGTTATTGTTGTCGAAATTGTCTCAGCTTTTCATTTATCTTCTCTAAACTAACAGAGTGGTGTGTTTATCACTATTAATAAAAAAAAAACAGGAGAAACACAATACAATATTCACAACGTTAATTAGAAACCTGAGCTCATCAAAAATACAAACTGTGGAATAAAAATCCAAAATGAAAGAACAGAATCAAACTGACCTGCAGACCAGATAAACTTTACTTCACTGTAATTAGTGTAAAACTTTGGTTCTCCTCTTCCTGCTCTGCACTGATATCCTGCTGTTTGAGTCGGTCCATTAATGATGAAGGAGTTCTGCTCAGTCCCATTGATGCTGTCAGGAAGCAGTTCATAAGTGTAGGATGGTTGATAGTTCAGCTTGGACGGATCAGGAACAGCTTTATACCAGAAGAACCTCCATCCTGCTGATTGAAGCTCCAAACCCTCACAGCTCAAAGTCACTGAGGCTCCAGGATTCGGCCATGATGGAGACACAGAGAGGACAGGCTGAGGTTTGGGAGCTGGAGAGAGAGGAGGTATAAACACACATATAGAATTATTTTTTACATATTAAAATTTGCTAGTAAAATCCCTGTAAACATTATTCATACATGGGTGAACTCACAGGACACTCTTAATGTGATGACTCCCCACTCTTATGGTGAAACCGTCTCTTCTTCCTCTGCATTTATAATCTCCACTTCTATAAGCAGTGATCATGAATTCGCTGGATGTTGGTGAGTTTTTCTATTGGTTGGTCTCCATTCATACGTCCACTGAGTTCCTCCATCATCCTGGATCTCACAACTCAGAGTGATTCTCTCTCCTCTGTAGATCTGAGACCAGTTGGGTTGTTGGATCACAGTTGGTGTGATGGGAACTGTTCACATGAGTAACAGAGAGGAGATATTTCCAAACACCAAATAAAGAACACATACACATTATTTACTAATGTCTGAAACCAAATCT